ATAGATAGATAGATAGATAGATAGATAGATAGATAGATAGATAGATAGATAGATAGATAGATAGATAGATAGATAGATAGATAGATAGATAGATAGATAGATAGATAGATAGATATCACCGCGGGGAGGGGGCGATGATAACTTCTTCAATGGCTCAAGGGGGCGTTTCTTTCAAAATGGTTAAGAACCACTGATCTATAGTATTACTTTTTATCACCCCCTGATAAAGAGGTCTGGACCTTCTTCCCTAACTTCCCACTCAGTTGTCTAAACTGGTACTCTTTTCAGACACATTTAATTTCAGTTTGTCACATCAGTGTCCAAACAAAAAGAGGTAGCCAAATTGCTGACCTGGCAGTCCTAGTAACAGCCTATTTATTGTGTACAAGTCCTTTACAATGGCTGGAGTCTTATTGGTGTTCTCACAAGATTTGTGTAACTTGCCGTACCAAGTTGAGGAATTGATGGCATTAGTTGGATGCTTTTGAATTGTGGTGCTGGAGGAGACTCTTGAGAGAGAACAAACCTATACCTTCTTAAGGAAATCAACCCTGAGCGCTCACTGGAAAGACAGATCCTAAAGCTGAGGCGCCAATACTTTGGCCATCTCATGAGAAGAGAAGACTCCCTGGAAAAGACCCTGATGTTGGGAAAGTGTGAAGGCAAGAGGAGAAGGGGACGACAGAGGATGAGATGGTTGGACAGTGTCACCGAAGCTACCAACATGAGTTTGACCCAACTCCGGGAGGCAGTGGAAGACAGGAGGGCCTGGCGTGCTCTGGTCCATGGGGTCACAAAAGAGTCAGACACGACTTAACAACTAAACAGCAGCAGCAGTTGAGGTATTTGCCAAGAAAATAGTACCCCAAATAGCAGAGATATGGGGATATATAAGGACTCACACTGAATAAGTCATCCAAAATTCTTCTATTCGATCTCTCCTAACTGTCCCTCACAACACACCCTCTGCATATCTAAGGGTCGAAGTAGGACTGATTTCAATTGAAACACATTCTCGTATTGCTCTGGCCATGTATTGGCTGAAATTGGACAGTATGAATGAGTCTCCCCTTCCTAGGAAGTGCTACACAGAACAGCTTCGGAATCCATCTTGAAAATCCTGGGTGAATTTAGTTAGACCCAAGACCCATTTTGCAGAACTATGGGATTGACAGCGACTCCCTTCCTACCTTTGTTTCAAATAGAACTAAGCATCTGGTTAAAGAAAAAAAATGTCTTTATTCTAAGAGGCAGGATCTCCGTAACATCTCAGAAATGTACTATTCCTGTTGGTTCCCTTTGTATAAAACATCATTCTGTTTGGAGGATTACTTTGTTAATTTAACCTCAGCCCCTCTAAGAAAAGCATTTACAGCTCTGCGCTTTCAGTGTGTGCCAACAGCTATATTAGTAGGAAGATATGAAAATGTTTCCTTTGATCAAAGACTTTGTATACGTGGATCAGGAGAAGTTGAAGATGTTTCTCATTATTTGTTAAGATGTCCTTTATATGAAAGGAATCACCTCAGGAGTAAATTCCTTGCAGGCATACTTAGAACTTTGTGTGACAGCCCTCCTCTGGCTCAACTTTGTATGCTGCTTGTGGGCAGGGATGTAATTACTGCCCATCAAGTAGCAAAATTTGCCCTGTCAGCAAAGAAGAATCGTGCCAAGCATCCAAAATCCTAAATCTTTCTTTTCAAGTGTAATTGTGGTATGACAGATATGATATGTTTGATGCTGTCATTGATATATTGCGGTGACCTATGGTTTTAAGCAACCAACCAATAAAGTAAAGTGATGAGTTGATGGAGCACATGTTGATTGTTCAGTTGGATGCATGACCAGGCAGATGACTGAGACATACCCAGCACTTGGTCAATCAGTCATGGCAAGTTATGTAGAACTTGCAAAATCTTTAATAGGATTCTGTAAATGTTAATGTGTTTAAGCATCAGTTAAGTAATGTATTCCACCAGTTGTTCTGAAAGACTGTCTCCCAGAAAGCTTTTCCATCATCTACACTTATGTTCTGGCCATTCCATCAGGCTCCAAGAAGGTGATGATGGGACAAGAAGGATGAAATTTGGTGGCTTTCCTAAGCTGTTTTGAGCCCTGCATTATAAAAATACGATTTAACTTGAGGAATCATAAGTTTGCTTTATACTGTTTTTCCTCCGTAGTCCTGTTTCCTTTTATGTCATGTTTTTCAGAGTACAATCCTGTGGGTAGGGGCTGTCTTGTTTTATTGCTGATATAAAACACCTTGCAAGAGTTTTCAGCTAGAGTGGGTGGAATGTGTTTTGAATGATGCATTGTTTGCAGTATTACATCCCTTCCATTCTTCTTGTTCTGCTTTGCACCCATTCTAGTTTAAATTTATCTTTCAAGAAAATAATTGAAGAATAGTAAGCATGACAAAGCTGATGAAAGATGCCAAATGAGTTGTTTTATTTTATTTATTTATTTATTTATTTATGGTTTTAAAACCTCATCGGTCTTCACATGTGGGTCGTGCAGTCACTGTGGTTCCCATTTATGGATGAGCAACTATGACTATATGAGAGAGAATGATTTCTCCAAGGTCTCGCACAATATTTGAATTTGGATTCACTGTGCATGAGTTGTAACTTGGATCACTCTCTTGAACTCCATTTTGGACCTTAGAATCTGGAGACCATTCTAGAATGTGATTTTGACAATTTTCAACCTTAAAAGGTATCTCAAAAAATAACTACAAAGAAATGTTGAAGGCAGTACTCTACATGCAGTGGCCTTATTAAAATGTTTGGGAATCCTCCCACTGACTATTCCCATTACTCCCCTAAGCAGAAATGTTGAGATGAAGCTTTTTGGAGGAGAAGTGCTCCCTTAGCAAGGTGATTCTTTACAGGATTAGCCCCTCCTCTTTCAAAAATCTCTTTGGCACAGGAGTTACACAAAACTGTTCAAAATTAAATGGAACAAGTATTTGATTGATTTTAATGCATTTATAAACAGAAAACATTAAAGATCTTGGGGTGGGATTTTTAGAACAACATGTTCAGTACACTTGCATTTCCAAAAAATCCCCCAAGGCTTGTGACGTTAACTGTGTGAAAGTATATGACATACACACGCACACACAGATGTTCCTAAAAGCCACTCATTTTTATGTGGACTTTCTTTCTGCTGCACCTGGTAGAATAAAAGGAGGGTTGCTGTGAATGTTTATATTCAGAAGATGTTTTAACAATGAAGCTCTTATGTACTTCAAACTTCTGCACTGATTGAAATCTCTTGAAAGCTTCATGAATGTACTGTACCAAAAAAGAAGACGACGAAGAAGAAAAACAGAACAGATGCTGAAATTATTCAACTAAAGCCCAAGCTCTTCAAGATGAAAATTAGTTCTCTGCAATCATCTATAAATGAATATCCTTCCCATGCATACACAGAATCCTTAAAGACCAAGGTGGCCACTGCAGTCCTATAATGAGCCATGGACCAATGTGTAGTGTATAATATACAGCAGCTGCACCTTAGTGTGTGTGTGCATGTGTGCGTGCGCGCCTATATATGTAGAAGGAAAGAGAGAGAGGGAAAGAGAGAGAGTCCCTCATTTTTGAAAAAGACCATCTCCATCAGATTCACCATTTAGGATAAGAATGAGATGAGTGGTTAAGGTTGAACAGTAGCATGCTGATGGATGCGCAGGTGACTAACAATCCCAGTGTGATCCCAGATGATAAGGAAATGGTGAGGGCAGGTTAGCTGATCCTGAGCTCAGTGGGCTGTCAGGATGTTTTCTTACTTCTCTCTTCCTTTGTGCATCCCTGAGACTTCCCATTTCAAATTCTTTAATGGCATTTTGTCAGATGTTTCTGTCTCGAGTGAGAACATTCCAACTGATGTAGTCAATATTAAATGCTTCCAGTGTAGTTTTCAGCATATCCTTGAATTGTTTCTTTTGTCTAATCAAGCATCTGAAACAAGCTCTCCATAGAAAATATGTTTTGGGAGATGGTTGTCTAACATCCTAACAAAATGGCCAGGCCACTGAAGTTGTCATTGTTTTAAGATTGTAAAAATGCTTCTTATCTGTATTTGCTCCAAGACCTAAATGTCAGGGACTTTATCCTGTCATTTGATGATGAGAATTGTCTAGTTTCTCATCATCAGAGTCCTGAATCTCTTCTGCCTTCTTGATGAACCCTGAGTTCTGCATCTCTCACAGTTTACACAGCAACTTGTGATGAATTTTCTTGAATGCTTCATTAGTGGTGTGTTGAATAAATTATCAAGAAGTTAGACTTACTTTGCTGACTGCTGCTCTGTACTGCCCCATTGCTTTACCTGCCTGCCTTCCTCAGTCAACCATTGCTGCTCCCCCTGAAACCATCCAGTGGCCAGTTAAGCTGCCTTTCAGTGACCTATTTCAACCATGTTAATTACATTTGGTCTTTGCTGCAGTACTCGGCGCAGCGATAGAATGAATCTTAGAGGTTTTTTAGGGCTCTAGTATGATACCTTACAAAGTAACAGGATTATATACAGCATTATGATTTAGCTACCTGTCTCCACCTGCCCTTCTCTGTCATATACATATACATGCCAGTGTAACCAGTGCCTTCTCTGTTGTGTTTCAGTGCAATGCTTTATCCATCTTGTGTGCAGTTTTCAAAATGTACAGCATGATAATTTTCTAAAGGTGCCCTCATGACTATTGAGAGGATAATAGCAATATGAACCATCAAGACTGATTTGTTGAGAATTCCGGTGGGCCAGATAGGCGGGGTGTAAATTAAATAAATAAATAAATAAATAAATAAATAAATAAATAAATAAATAAATAAATAAATAAATAAATAAAATACAAAGGAACAAAACAAAAAAGGACAAAAACATGTGGCACTTTAAAGACTATTTATATTTTAATGCGAGTTTTTGTGGAAATGTCCACTTTGTCAGATACATGGAAACAGAATGAAGTGTTGAATGAAGTATCAGTTTCATACGAAATATTCTTTGGCTCTTGGATTTATGTTACATTTACATGCAGTAATCTGTTTTATGTTGTTTTAGGGCTCTGTTGTAAAAATTCCTTAGGAGATCAAAAACAGACACTAAGCCTGGGTAAAGATGAGGGGGAGAAAGAGAAGAGAGAGGAGGAGTGTTTTTTTTTAAGACTGAGAATTGACTTAAAATTCAAGAAAGACAGGAAAAGAGAATATTAAATATAAAGGGGAAAGAAGATGGCAGAGGAATCCCATGTAGGGAATATTGACAGTTTTTACCTTTGAGCCTTGTGATGAAAGATGGGCTTGATAGTTGCGAAGAAAGTAACAGTGGCAATAGGTAAAAGCAGAAGTATTACATTTGGCAATGACTTAAGAAACCTAGGCTTATGTTCAATCCCTTTATATGGATGTCCATCATGAATATAAATTTTATCCAAGCTATTTCCCTCTGTATCCTTGACTTGGAATGACTCCATTCTAAAATGGTAACTGTAAAATCTTCCATGTAGTATCCTGGTAGACTGAAATGGTTGTAGACAGGTTTCTGTGTATTGTGGTTTCTGAAGTCAGATTTTTGACAGTTGATCTGTTTTAGTAGAGATTGCCCTGTTTGTCTTACATAGAGTGCAGGGGGGCATTGTTGGCAAAAGATGACATAGATCACATTAGCTGAGGAGCAAGCGAAGCTGCATTTGATATTGTATGTGGCATTATTAGGTCCTGTAATTGTGTTGCCAGAATACTTCTGCTGTTATCTACTGCCACTGTTATTTTCTTCACAACTAAGACTTAACTATTCTGACTTCTCAAAAAAGAATGCTAAGAAAAGATTGTATGATGTTAAAACTACTGTGTTTCACTTACAATTTTATGATTTTATGATGAAGCATAAACATGCTTGCTGTCGCCATGATGTTTTCTTTGTTTCTTCATTGCTGAAAATATGCTTGTATGTGTCTACCAGCTGGAATTATTTCTGTGTCCTTTGCTTGCCCATTATTTTCTCTAAAGAGCTTCTTTCTCGTTGTTTTTCAGAAAGCCTATACTTGGAATCTCCTTTGGAGCTGCCTTTCTCGTGCTGTCCTTCATTCTGTTTATCTGCTTTGCTGGACAGCTTTTGGTAGGTATTAGGAGCATATCCTTCTGCAGAAATACAGCAACTTCTGCATATGTAATTAAGCCATAATACGTCTAGACTTTTTAAGTCCATCTTTCTTGGAGTTGTAATGATTGGAAATGTTCCTTACTGTTCCTCATGAATTGGGTTTAGCATGTTTCAAATTGATTTTAAAAATGCTGACATTGTGATACAGAGGAGCACATTTTTTGGTTGGAAAGCAAAGTATTTTGCTCGACCACGAGAGAGTCAGTTATTTTAAATTGCTTGTGAAATCGATTTATTTTGAATCATTTTGGCATACGTTAACACCTCTGTCAATGTAAATTGTGTCTTTGGGGTTTGTCAGCTAATGGATGTTGGGATCAAAGGGTTACAGGCTGCAGAAAACCTTGCAGCCTGATCTGAAAATAGAGCCAGCAAAAAGATAATGGGGTGGGGGAAAGTACTCCCTCCTTCACAGGCCTAGAAGCTACTGGTCAGTTTGTCTTTGTTTGTCACTGTTATGCCTTCCCTCTTGCTTAGCCCTGGCTGCTTCTCACAGCCACTAGTGTTGTTGTGATGTTATTTATAATTTTTAATTTAAAAAACATTCTTGCAACCTGGCAATAGTGCTAGTATGACAAATAGGATTTTTTTAAAAAAAGATTTGACTACAAGCTGTCCATGCAACCCGACATACACACATGCAGACAACACAGAGAGAAAGGGGGTAGAGAAGGAGAGGGAGCAAGGGAACCAGCAGCTGGAGCTGGTGAGAGGGAAGGCACACTAGTAAATGGTACTGCTAGTTCCATTCCTCTGTCTCCTATCTAGTCAGCTGTATGGGATAAAGGGGCTTCTATTTTGGGAGAGGAACCCAACATTGTCTTGGATTCTGGATCCTGACCCCAGGAATTTCAGTTGAGATGCCACCATGCGGATATTGTTTATTTTCCAACTATCCCTACTCTGTGTTTATAAAAACTCTGATTGTCCCAGTTTTCCATATCATCAAAGTGGAGATGCTGCTTTGAGGAGGTCCAGTCAATGGACAATGTCTGTTATTTCTACTCCAGAACTAGGGAAAGGAGATTCTTAAAGGGACACAAGCTAAAGAGCCATATGTGCCATTACTTGCCAACCAATCTACAATAACATTCAGTTGCTGGATCCTCCATCCTCCCTTGAAATGATGTGACCTTATTGAGAGCAGCTGAAAGAGTCAATCAAGGGTCTATAAAAGGATTAAAACAATTCTGAATGTTGTTTTGGAAGAATAAGTACTAGTTTTCCTGCAATATTTCCTTGCTACTGGTGTTCCATTTTTGGCTGATTCACAAGCACTTGGCTCTCAGATTTGTGCATCAATTTGTTGCTTGAAAATGCCACGCTGGTGTACCTGTTTTCAAGTACACCGTTTGGATGTGTCCCTTGTGGCCTTTCTTATCCTCCATTGCTTCTCTGAGTGCACTTCTATTACAGATGGGTAAAGAGCCTAGAAAAACAAATAAGAAAAAAAAGGCAGGCAGTCAGGGACAAATCAAAGAAGAATGGAATTCTAATAGAGATGTTGTAGTGAAAAAGACCTTTCCCAAAACGGCAATAGACAAAATTTTAAAAGAAATAAAGGAAAATGTGCTGAAAAGGAAAGCATGTTTTGGATGATTGCCTTTCTTCTTCTTTAAAAGGTTGCTACGTTAGTACATATTTTGCCCTTGTTTTAAAACTGCTCTGTCTGAGCAAATGTTGCTTAGTTTCTTCTTCTTGTACCAATATTATAAAACAGAAAGTGTGACATTTTATTTTGGAAATAATAATAATGATCTTGGAATTGTAGAGCTGTGAGGGACCTTATGGATCATGAAGTCTAGCCCCTGTCGAAGAGGCACAGTAGAGAACTGAACTCTCAATTAGATGCCTAAGTCACTTAGCTATCCAACAGTCAGCAGGGATTAGACTTGTATTAGTTTTAATTTTAAATCTCCTTTGTGTATCCTGTGTTTTTCTTCATTTTATGCCTGATTTTCTGGGTAGCTCTGCGTTATTGACAAACACATTCCTTACAAAAGGATGTTAGTTTTACACAGTGTCCCCTAGCCTGGTGGCTTCCAGTCATTTGTGATTTCAACTCTCATCAGCTCTAGCCAACATGGCCAGTGGTAAGACATTCTGGGAGTTGCAGTCAAAATCATCTGTAGGACACCAGATTGTTGAAGTCTGCTCCAACATAATTTCCCTGTAAATTACCAAATGTTCAAAAAAGAAATATTTGAGGATTTCCTTCCCTTGGATTAATTTATTTTTACTTATCATTCCCTGCCAAACTTAATTGTCAAATGCTCTGCATATCAGACAGATTCAGAATTGTTTCTCAGTATAACTCAAATGCTTTGTGTTTCAGACGAAAACAAAAGGCAAAATTTAAAAAAGAGACAAAACACTGGTACCTTATAGACTATCTGATACATATTTTATATGAGTTTATGTGGCTCAAATTCACTTCCTCAGAGATTAGAGTCAGACTATGTGATTGTTATATTTATACCTGGCCCTATGACCAGGTGAGGATACAAATAACGGGAACAATGACAGTGGTTGGGTAGTAAAAGAATAGGACTATCAAGCTGTAAATAATTACAGTGGTGCCTCACTTAACGATTTTAATTAGTTCCAAAAAAAATCGCTATGTGAAAACATCTTTAAGCGAAACACCATTTCCCATAGAGATGCATTGAAAACCGGATAATCCATTCCAATTGGAACGGATTACCATCCTTAAGCGAAAATCCCCTAAGGAAAAAACGTTAAGCGAAACCCATTGAAATGCATTGAAGCCTATTTCAATGGGGGAAAAAAATTCACAAAAAATTCAAAAAGACTCAGAACAAAGCCAAATTAAGTTAACGAAGGTTTTATTAGGCACACTAACAATTCCAAGCATTTTAAACATTTTTAAACATTTTAGAATATTTTAAAAATAGCAAAAACGGGGCTGTAAAAAAAAGTTAAGCAAAACAAGGGGACCTAAAACTGTCATCGTTAAGTGAAGCATGGTCCCGAAATCGTTAAGCGAAAATCGCCCATAGGGAAAATCGTTAAGTGAAGCACAAGATCGCTCCGAAAAAGCCATCGTTAAGTGAATTTTTCGTTGTACGAAGCAATCGTTAAGCGAGGCACCACTGTATAGATATCAATTATTCTCTATGAGCCTACAAGGTAATAAGAGCATTATTGACAGAAATGGCAAAGTTAGGGAATCAGTGTAGGATTTCACACTTGGAAGTGTGTTAGGAATCCTTGATTGATGTTTAACCTTTTTGAGTGGGTCTCCAGTAACAACATGTACCTCACCTCAACTGTTTCTCTTTCAGCTTTAGCCTCTCTCTCTCTGTGTATGTGTGTATGACAGTCACTTTCGGGTCATTCAAAAATGTCCAGGTAGATTTAAATATTCTGAAATAGGTTTTTGTGAGTTCCCATTTTTGATGTTAGATTATGATCATTAATTCTCCTGTGCAGAAATCGTCTTGTTTGACCTATGTAGAGTGCAGATGGGAATTGCTGACAAAAGATGAATCACGTTAGCAAAGAAACAAGTAAACATGTCCCTGGTGTTGTGTGTGATATTGTTGATGCTTGTAATTGTGTTCCCAAAGTACATGTGGGGATAGAGATGGCGTCTAGGTTGCAGCAGGGTTTAGTTCCCATCTTTGTATGTATGATATATCGTGTGACATTTGAGATTGTCTGTAAGCAAGTATAGGCCTGCCATCAAGAGCTTGGGAGATTTAGGTGTTCTTGTCAGTAATGGATTGTAGATAATTGAAGATGTGAGTGCCTCAGAGTGCAATTACGGTACATGGTCAAATTCCACGGGATTTTCTCCACTTATAAAAAGGGCACATGGTCAAATACCACAGGATTTTCTCCACTTATAAAAAGTGTGAATTCTATTTTTTATTGATCACATTACACAAAGACTGAATCAAATTGGTCCAGATCTTTTTGCTCCCAAAGTACCTTTTTCCCCTCTCTGCTGCTTTTCAAGCTAGAATGAGCTGAATAGACTTTTTCCCATCTGGTAGTTGTGATATGTTCTTGTAAAGACAGGGGGTGGGTGGTATGTCTGTAGGTGGTGCTTCAGGTGATGTAAGAGTTGGGGTGTGATGTTCAGGATGGGGGCAGACATGTAGAAGCAAACTGCTGTGATTATGGTTCACTGTCAGGTTCCTACATTTTAGAAAAACATTTCTGTAGAAAGACTAAGCTAGTGTGCATTCCCTTGTCCTTAGCCTCTCAAGGGAGGACAAGGAGCTTAAGCACGCATACATGCACTTACAAGCAGCATCAGCACTCATCTCCCTCCATAAAGCCTCTGCTCCTCCAAGACATTTCTTCTTTTTTAAACAGCTCCCCCCACCCCGGTGGACAGTTCTGTTTATTTATTTATTTATGTATTTTTTAAAACAGCTTCAGGAACTCTCCCACTGTGAAGATAAGATTTGGAAGTAAGTGATTGGGAGGAAGGAAAGCCTTCTTAAGGCATTCCCTTTGAACCGTGCCACCTACAGGTGCTTTAAATGAAACTGCAAATATGCCTTTTTGCTCTGCCTCTGTGGCCACTTGTATCAGAGAGAACTGGATGCCCCAGTATGACTTCACAGTGAAAGAATGTGAGTTAATTCCCATTTCCCTCATTGTCACAACCTCAGTAGTAGGCTGAAGGTAACAACTAGTGGTGTTCGTTCATTTTCTCTTCTGGGTCTGTCTTAACAGTAGGTTGATTCTGAGTATTTGTCTTCCCTTGTCTGCTTGCACAGACTAATTATTTCTTTGAAAACTTCAAATGCCTTGCTTATCTTAAAGCCTTTGACAGAGGATCTGGTGAAGTACCTGTATATCTTCAGCTACAAAAAAAATGCTTATAGCCTCCCTTTTGGAAGAGTCAGTGTTACTACTGGTAAAGTGTAGTTCATAATAACACCATTATCAGTTTAGATGTACATAACACTCCGATTAAACGTATGAGGTTTTTTTAAAAACCTCTTAATTGCTCTTGCATCTTAAACTTGTACTTTTAATGCTTCGTATCAATTTGTTTGAAAAGTGACTACTCAGTGTGTTCGGCTTCTGTTCAGGGGGGTTAATCACCTAAATTCCACTGAAATAAGAAATTAGAAATCTAAAAAGACTAGTTGTACTGAATTCTTGTTGGAAACCCATATGGTTAATCATACTTTTGTTGTTGTTGTTGTTGTTGTTTAGTCGTTTAGTTGTGTCTGACTGTTCGTGACCCCATGGACCAGAGCACGCCAGGCCCTCCTGTCTTCCACTGCTTCCCAGAGTTTGGTCAAATTCATGTTGGTTGCTTCGGTGACACTGTCCAACCATCTCATCCTCTGTCGTCCCCTTCTCCTCTTGCCTTCACTCTTTCCCGACATCAGGATCTTTTCCAGGGAGACTTGACTTCTCATGAGAAGGCCAAAGTATTGGAGCCTCAGCTTCAGAATCTGTCCTTTCAGTGAACACTCAGGGTTGATTTCCTTTAGAATGGATAGGTTTGTTCTCCTTGCAGTCCAGGGGACTCGCAAGAGCCTCCTCCAGCACCACAATTCAAAAGCATCAATTCTTTGACGGTCAGCTTTCTTTATGGTCCAGCTCTCACTTCCATACATCACTACTGGAAAAACCATAGCTTTGACTATGCAGACTTTCGTTGGTCCACATAGTCATACTTTAGCTTTGCTTAAATCTTACTGGAAACAATATGTTAGTTATGATTAACCTTTTGTTTTCAATAGGATTTAAGCAAAGCTAATTTCCTTCGGCTTTGTCCACCACAGGGTTTTATACTGATGCAGTTCTGCAGGTTGTTTTACATTTCTGAAACTCACAAAAAGAGGCATCCAATATTTCCATTTGGGAGCCATAGTTCTGCCCCCCACCCCGGGGAGAGGATAGCCACTGTTTAGCAGGGGGCCTCCACTTTAAAGCATAGATACCTTTTGCTGATACCTCTAGGTGAGGCCCAAAGGACAACCACTCCCGAATCTTTCCAGCGTCTTGGGTTACGGCTTTCACTATGCCAACCAGAGAGGACCTTACAGCCCCAGCTGGGATTAATGCCATTCAGTTTTTCAAATGAAAGCTTTTCTTCACGAAGCTTTGTCCTCCTTTTATTTAAATCTTGATACTGTATTGTGTTGCCAAAGCTGACGTGGTTGTTACAGTCTCTGTTTTCTCTACTAATATTTTTAACATGTCATTTATGAATAAATAAAGAGGAGAGTCTGCCTAAGAATCAAACAAAAGGAATTTATTAGGGAAACAGAGGAATCAGGATGCAAAGGAAAAGGTAATTTATCAGTCTAAACTGGAAAAAAATCTATATAATCTTTTATAATATTATTATCCACTTGCTCATTATTTTCACTACTATCACACACTGATTCCACACTGATTCTTAACTCCTGACATGAGACATATCCCTTCTTTAACTCTCTTGGCTGCCAGATGGGTGGTGAATGAATGAATGAATGAATGAATGAATGAATCTCTCAACTCTCCTGTTTTCTCTCCACTTTCATCTCTCAATTCTCCCTGAAACACTCCATTTGTGCTAACCAGTCACCAGCCAGCTACCAAAACTGACAATCACCCTAGCCCTCCAGCCATACCAATCCACAGTACATGCATTCCAGCCTGTCTCTATAACATCCTAATATAAGTAATTACTCATACATTTAAACATAATGACTCCAAACAGATAGGATCATCACAAATTGCCACAGGCCTGATATAGTTACTTTTTTACTTATGTGGAGGCAGAGGGCAGGTATAGGTAGTGGTTCCAGTTTGAATGTTATTTTGGAAAAAATTTGGGATCTAACTGGAGTACAGTAGATTATGCTAGGTAATTCTAAGATGTCAGTGGTAATTGGTGGGTGCATCTGCAGACTGAAAACAGTTTTGGTTTGCTTTGTTATGGAAGGTCATCCTCCCAATCCCTTGAGGCTTGCCTGATTAGATCTCATCTTGCCTTTAGAGAGCAAGCAAAAATTAAATACTTTTTGTGAAGCAGTTGCCACCAGCGCCCAGGGTGGACTGCCTGCCCTTGCCTTGCAACACCTTGGGAGCCTGTAGAAGCTGTCAGCTCTCGAACACCCAGAAGGCACGGGGAGGGAGGACAGATGTCTGCTGAAGGAGGCGCCTCAGGAAGATGGAGGGAGTAACGGAGGGAATAAAAGAAGCGGAATGGGGGAGGCTTGGAGAGCAGGGGCAGGCTTGAATATCTTGATTGAAGAGGTGACCTTGGAGGGGAAGGAGATTGAGGAGGAGACTTTGGGGGGGGGAAGCTGTGGACACATGGGGACCCCCCCCTGGTTTATGCTTCTGGAAAGGTGGAATACAGCTGAGAGGAGGATCCCTGGCAGGAAACAACTCTCAAGGAAGTCACATTTGTGAGAAGGGGTTGCATTCCACTTGCTCCAGAGAGACTATAGCTAACTGCAACTTGTTGGCTGCCATGCTGGCCAACTGGAGCAGCAGTGCCCAACCCAGCACAGTTGGGATGCTAGTGGTGCAAATACGAGTGCAAGAGAGAGAGGAGCAAAGAAGCCCAGCTAGGTATCCATTACCACCCTTGAGAGGACTGTGACCTGGTCTTGGACTTCTACTGTTGTCCCATTTTTTCATGCCGGGACTGATGTAAAGCTAATTGGGGGCCCAACCCTCAAACTCCACTGGCAGGGTCGAAGGTGTGGTTACTGTTGTTTAATAAAACTCATTCCAATAAAGGCTTTTACTGGTTACACTAGCAACCTGGAACTGTTGGAGTTATTACCTGGGCTGGTGGTGCTTATACCTTTTCATGGTGCTAGGCTTTTGAACTTTGAGAGTCGATTGTCTTTCTAATACTATTTTCATCATTCTGCTGTTAAAACTGAGTTGTTGTGTGTGTTTTTAAGTTTTTAATGATCCAGAGCTCCCTATTGGTTTGGGCTTACTAGGCATTTTGCAGTCTCCTTGGGTGCCGAAAATAAAAATCTATTTTTATTTTCTTCCCTCCACATCTATGTATGATTGAGTAGACCGCGAGCCAGTATGGCTAATTTGCTTTTTATCTAATACTGACTATCATGTGAGTGGTCAATTCTTTCCTATCTTGCATCTTCAATATGGAAATTGTTGTAATTCGGTGCACATTTTCATTCTGCTCCAATGAATAACAGTTCATCACTGTGTCTAGGAAATGTTTAATAGTCTCCACTATTCAGCTGCCTTTATTTTTGTCGTTTGTTCTTGCAGTGTAGAATTGTGAGCAATCTTGTTTTTGAGGTAAATTAAAAGAAGCAAAAATATTTATAGACATGCATTTTAATGTGTTTCATATGCAGCAATGCAATAAGGAGATCTCAGCATCACTAATGTGGGTTTTGAAGTCCTCTGGAGTAATTGCAAACCGACCATGGCCACGGATTGTGTTCACTTTGATAACAACTGCAATAACGCTAACAATGGCTGTGTTCAATATGGTAAGTTTTTAATTAAATCTTGTTACTCTTTCTGTTAATGCATTTATTTATTTATTTTTGTTCTCCAAGCCTATTTGCTGTGTAGGTTTTATGTGTATTTTCTGTATATGCCTGTGACATATAACAGTTTCAACAGTAACTTCAGAATTCCAGTATGGAAGCACTTCAGCAAGCACCATTTTATCAACTTAGTGAAATACCCTTAGAGCAATTTGTCTTATATTGAACATCAAAGACAAAGTCTCTCCCAAAGTCTGTGGTGACATAGAATGGTCGCAAACATTCAGATTGTTTCAATCTAGTTAATGTGATGGAAAGAAAAATTGTCAGTTTGACTGGGATTAATCTTACATAGACCAAAGTATATTATAATTCTGCCTGCATCATTTTGGTGGCAGATTAATTTAGGATTTCCGAATCATCTTATAGGCAATAAATCAAGAAAAAGTTCTAATTAGTGCCAATGTTGTGTGTACTTGCCCACCAAGATCTAGGAGTAGTTAAGGATATAAAATAGATATAAAGCATGGTTAAGTTATTGAACATTGTGAGGGTTCAAGAGTAACCTGGTTGGACACAAATACAGGATGCTCAGTTTTTTGAAAAGCAGAACGGGTTTATTGGAACATCAAATAAAGAAGTGTCAACATTAAACTTGTCATTGTTCTTTTCTCTCATCGCCAGCGGGTCAAACGAGGGTGTCCATAAATCTTGCAAAAAAGGATTATAACTTGGATCATACCAGGGTCCTTTAGAGAACGGGTTAGTCTCACCCTGGTCCTTCGTATCAATGTCCACATCAATCAAGGGTAGTGTCTCTTCATCTCCCCTCTCCTGGTCATAGGGGTCATTTCCTTCTGCATAGGGGTCCCAGGGTCCGGTAAATCCCTCCTCCAGCAAGCCTCCTCCAGACGCCATGCTCTTCTTTCTCTCTCCTCTCTGTCAACCGCTTCTTTTTCTTCCCTCAATCATCTCCACCACTCTCTGGCCTCGGATTCCGCCCAATAAGATGGTTTAGGGTGCAAACCCCTTCTACGCCTGTAATCAGCCTCCTCTCGAGGCACTCTCACTTTCTCGCACCTCCCTGTCCAGGGATCCTCTACCTATATTAATTCCCAACCCCCGGGTATGTTGTCCCGCTCTCCTTTTATATCGCCATGTCCCGCCTCTACCAACAGTCACTCCCCCACCCTTGTTCCCGTCTTTTCTATTCCTGTCTGGGTGGCCACCGACAGTCTCGTCAAACCCTGTTCCAAGTCACAGGTGTCTATACCCTGTGCCTGACCGCGACGCAGGTAGTCGTAGATTCTGTTTGGGTCTCCTTTTCTCTCTTAAAGGAGGACAACACTCCGGCAAGTGCTTCTATAGCCTCACCTCGGGTCTCACAAACATCATGTAGGGTGTGATTATTTATTTATTATTATTTTATTTATTGGACTTATATACCGCCCCATAGCGCTACAAGCACTCTCCGGGCGGTTTACAATTTTTTAATTATACAGGCTACACATTGCCCCCCCCAGCAAGCTGGGTACTCATTTTACCGACCTCGGAAGGATGGAAGGCTGAGTCAACCTTGAGCCGGCTACCTGGGATTTGAACCCCAGGGCGTGAGCACAGTTTTAGCTGCAGTACAGCGTTTTAACCACTGCGCCACGAGGCTCTTACATGGACATTTAGCCTTTTCTTTGGTCCACTGTGGGAACAGACTGGTTTGCTCCTTTTGCTGATAACTGGTGTAATTGCTGGGGCAAAACAGTCCATCCCAAGGCTATTCCTACCCATACCTTTTTTAGTCCATATCAGGGGCTACTCTTTTTAAGCAGTGGTTGGGTCACTCTGTTTTGGTTCATTTTCAGTGCACGTGATAGCAGGTTGCAATTTCATAATGACTTAAACAAATAGTTAAGCCATTTAACGCTATTGGGAAATTAAAAAATTCCTTCCTCTGCTCCTCCAAGAGGAACAAGGAAGAAGACAGGCAAGGAAGACTTTGGGGCCCTGAATCATATTCCAAAGAATAAATGGGAGGAGAAGGATCTCCTGGGTCTGGTACCTTGACCCTGAAGAACCTTAAAGTATGGCACGGATGGGAAATTCTCTTCTTATGACTTCTACTATCTTTGTGGCCTGGCAAAAGGATTGTGAAGTAATGTGCACATTGTGGAGGTCATGAACAAGATTCTAGACCCCTGTTTTAAGAGTTCTCATGAAAAATGCTGAATTTAAAAGATTCAAATATATCTTAAAATATTGTAATGCAAAAGCACATAATTCATTTTTCTCATTTGGGGGAAGAAAATCTACTGCACGATTCCTTTTGCTAAAAGTAATATATTAATATACGTTGTTTATTGTTGCTTATAAAATTACACCTGGACTTGTACAAATCTTCCATAATTTATCTATTTTTCCAAAATGAAGGAAGGGATATGAAAGTGCTCCCTGCTTTATATCAACCAGATTAGTCAGTGGCGGGTAGTGGGGGACTTAAAGGAGAGGTTTATGTTCTAGCTTTCTTGCCTGTTCTGCAATAGCAGCAACTAAAGCCAGGTAGCATCTCTCTTATGAATTTCAGCTTTTAATGACACTAATCTTCATTGCCAGGCAACAGGTAAGGATGCCATGAGATGGGTTATTGCCACACACTCTCTCATTATGCACGAAATTTGAAAATCCTACCAAATACTACAATTTCATTTACTAATGTAAATTACAGTATACTCACAGTGCGGTGCAAACAGCATTGGGCAGTAGCAGATGGCAGTATTTCCTTTATGGATTATGTTTTTCATAGTGATTTCCCTTGTTTTCACAATAAATCGGGCAGAGGATTGCCCAGTTTACTAACCCACCTATTTTGTCCCTAGCCCTGGCTCACCTCCAATGCTGGTATTGAAAATCCATATTTTCAATAAAGATTTTGTGTGTTGTTGGGTGTTGCCATGTGGAAATGAACATGTGTTGTTGTTGTTTAGTCATTAAGTCGTGTCCGACTCTTCATGACCCCATGGACCAGCGCATGCCAGGCCCTCCTGTCTTCCGCTGCCTCCCGGAGTTGGGTCAAATTCATGTTGGTAGCTTCAATTATACTGTCCAGTCATCTCATCATCTGTCACCTCCTTCTCCTCTTGCCTTCACAATTTCTCAACATCAGTGTCTTTTCCAGGGAGTCTTCTCTTCTCATGAGATGGCCAAAGTATTGGAGTCTCAGCTTCAGGATCTGTCCTTCCAGTGAGCACTCAGGGTTGACGTCCTTCAGAATGGATAAGTTTGTTCTCCTTGCAGTCCAGGGGACTCTCAAGAGTCTGCTCCAGCACCACAACTCAAAAGCATCAATTCTTCGGTGGTCAGCCCTCTTTATGGTCCAGCTCTCACTTCTATACATTGCTATTGGAAAAACCATAGCTTTGACTATGCGGGCCTTTGTCGACAAGGTGGTGTCTCTGCTTTTTAAGATGCTGTCTAGGTTTGTCATCGCTTTCCTCCCAAAAAGCAGGAGTCTTTTAATTTTGTGGCTGCTATCAGCATCTGCAGTGATCATGGAGCCCAAGAAAGTAAAATCTGTTACACAGCTGGCAGGTGTGGGAACTGGATGCACAGTTACACATTGTCGAACCGATGTGGTTAGTGATCTACCATGATCAGGCTAGAAAAATGACGAGGCATTCTTTTGTCTACAAAATTTGTCTACAAAATTTGTAGAATTGTTTATTTATTTATGCAAAAATTATATTGCAGCTTTCCACTGCTTACGGACCAGACTGACTAACTGGTAAACCCCACAATAAATGAAGGAAAATACAAAAAAATCACAGAAGAATGTCATGAAAACAGATCAGTGATAAAGGCCCAGAGATGGATAAGCAAATGAAACAACCATGGCAAACGCAACCAGTCGGTGTTTTCAGTGCTGGTTTGTTTATACATTGAACCAAATTCATTTGTTCGGGACAGTCTCAAAGCTGTTTCACTGCTGAAGCTTAGGAAACCTTTTTCAGAAATTTCCTTTGTTTAAGTTCACATCAAAGCTCACTGCATAATAGAAACATTCCTGTGAATATTTGGTTCTCATAAAAGCAGTATAACAAAATCCTAGGAATGTTTTTTAACATCTAGGCTTTGGAGTGTTCTCATTAATCAAACAGTGCCATAGAGAGCACTAACACAAGACACCTGGGGTCCTATTTTTAGTAAAATACAATAGTGCTAAGAATAGATATTCATAATAGAAAGCAGTTTAAAATTCAGTGTGGAAAGTTTTCTTCAGCACTTTTAATTCTGTATAGGAAAATGTGACTTCTAGCGTCTTCTTCAGTTCATTGGTGGTGCTGGAGTCCATGTCCCTGTGCATTTTAGAAGTTTCTGAGATAACTGGCTTTAAAAACAAGCAGGATCAAATAATATGCTCTCATTTTAATTTTGAATCACATATATGTTAGATAGAAAATACCATATTTTTCACACCATAAGACGCACTTTTCCCCCACAAAACAGGGGGGTGGAAAGTCTATGTGTCTTATGGAGCGAAGAAAACAGATTATATTTTCCTGTTTTCTTCTTCTAAAAAATTGGTGCGTCTTATGGAAAGGTGCGTCTTATGGAGTGAAAAATATGGTACCCTAACAATCAGCCTGCCTACAGGTTGTGGTGTTGGTACACATTACAGCAATGTGTGATGCATTCCTTTAGAGAAGTGGTTTTCACATGGTTGTGTGTATTGGTATAAAGGAGCAGCTGGCCAGTGTGGGAATTGGATGCACAGTTACACATTGTCAAACCGAAGTGATTAGTGATCTACCATGAGCAGGTTAGAAGAATGACGAGGCATATTGCAACTCTACAGAAGCTATGTCCATTTTTAATTACTGCAGTCTGCTGAACTCGTTCAACAGTTTCATCTTTAATAAAGCCCTTTGACAGTTTATCTGAAATCCAGATTTTGATAAATGGTAACAACAGATGTTTCCATCAAGTAAGCTATGCTGAGAGAATCACTG